GAGAGGGGCCGGGGCTGCCCTCCCCTCCCCTGCCTGCCAGCCCCAAAACTCGCCGAGTGGACGTGCAGAGAGGCCGGGGGCGGCGGGGTGGCCCCGCAGAGGAGCTAGCTGATTTGTTTTGGCAGGCAGCGTTTAGAGGAAGGCACAGATGGCTTTGTCACAGAATCAGATCGATTAACCCCATCCAGCTTCCGTGGGCTGGATTGCGAGTGCCCAGCACTGCGAGGAGGCTGCTCCCAAGCCCGTCAGGCTCTCCGGCAGGAAGGCTTGGGGTCAAGTCCATGGACCCGTGCCCTGGGCTCGGCCAGCACTGGCACTGTGGTGTCTGCCTCAGTTTCCCGTTCCCCAAGATGGGCAGTGAGCACTGACCCACCACCCACGCAGCAGGCTTCACTGCTGCCGAGGTGAGCTTAAATCGTGCTGGGGCTGAGCATCACCACAAGCAGGACTGACCCAAGGGCAGTGGCAGCCTAACACGACTGGGGAGGAGGGAGTCTTGCAACACTCCTAAATGCGTGGGGTGCCAGAAGGGCCATTTAGCCAGCAAGGGGAGAAACTGGCGTCCTCCTTTTTTGTGTGTCTTTGCTTGTCTGAATTTGCCTTTAACCATCAGCGTCTTTCCCATGCAAGAGGCACAGCCACAGCAGGCTAAGAAAGGGTTTCGCATCACGGGGACATGGCAGTAGCTGCAGCGGGTATCTGGGTAGATGCGGTCCCTCGGCTGCAGCCAGCAGTGGGGAAAGGATGGCCTGAGGACAAGGCTGACTCTTCCCCAGGGGACAGGATAGCGTAGGGTTAGCCACCTACAAGGTTTTTGAAGGCTGGACCCTTCACGATCCTTGACACGAGATGGAAGGAAGGGCAAAGCCCAGAAGCAACCCAGTGCTGGGGCAGAGACGTGGACTCAGCACCCGGCTGCAAAGGTCTAAAGGACATAAACTCCAGTGTGAAGAAGCAAAGTGGCAGCGAGGGAAGGCAAATGGGCAAACATGCTCCAGATCAGGGAAAGGAGAATGGAAGATTGCTGTCAAAAACCAGCCTTGGCTTTTGGACTGCGGAGGCAGTGGCTGATCGGATGTAACGGTGGTACCCGAACAGATGCAGAGCTGAGCAGGTAGAAATAACTCTGCTCTGGTCTTGGAACTCCCCAGTGGCTGTGACTGTGGCAGGGGGAAAATAGAAACAAAGCTTCTCTCAGAGGCAGAGGATAGAGCTAGCAAGTGGCCAAAGGGATGGCAAATGGCCTCAAGGGTTGGGATGGGTGGCGGGAGGCAACGGGGATGCTGGGGCAGTAGCAGAAGGTCTGTCCTGGGAAAGACCACTGGGATGTTAAGAACAACAGGATCCTTCCTCACTCACAGCTACTGCAGAGACCTTCACAACATGCCAGCCAGGCTGGATGTTAGGGTCATTTCTCCAGAAGCCTGTTGTTTTCATCTCTTTTACAGTCATTAAGGTTTTCCCCAGAGTTCAGAGAAAGCAGAAGCAAGGAATTGCCTGGGGACAGATGTCCCTTTAAACAGACTTCTCTTGCTCCTCTGCAATTAAACGTAAGGACAATTTAGCAGCAGATAATTTAGGTCCCGTCCTTTCTAGGATGTCTGTGCTCTGCAGAGACTAAGGTGCTGTGGGAGGGAGAGGAGCAGCACCTTCCCCTCACTGAGCCCATTCTGGGACCTCTGACGGCAGAGCCCTCAGCCAGTGGAGGTTTACTGGCTGAAGGGCCATCAGGGCACTGATGGCATCAAATGATTCCCAGGTTATGGTTTTTCCATTTCCTCTAAATAACTGAAACATCTAGCAACCTCAGGAATTATCGTTTTCATTATCAGAAATAGCATTTTGAATACCTTGCCATAAACATCATCTGCTTTTGCCAGATTCGTACTGTTAATAAGCAATAGTTCCTTCATGCCCCAAGTCCATGAGATGTTTCATTATGGATCTTAGCACACCCAAGTATTTCCACCAGCTTCAGCATCACAATGCCCACACTAGAAGCCAGATGTATGCTTAGGTACATCTGAGTATTACTGTAAAGCTGCCTCCTTCCCCCATGCCCACTTTTACTGGTTTCAGCCATAGCTGGGAAAACAGTACCTCCATGTCTGCCTGGCCTTTTGCACATGAGCTACAGCCTTCTAGATTTCTTTCTCCAGGGATATGCTATTTCATGGTGACCACCATTTACTAAAAAATTCCAAAAACCCACCCCAGAACCAAAGAATTTATTCTCTTACTCAAAGAAACACATGAAGTCAGGTGAGGGCAAAGACTGTGACATCCAAGCCAAGTACTCTGTGTGACAGACACCTCAGCCAAGAGCTCTGAATAACAGTGTGATGGCACGCCTCGTCTCTATTTACACCCGTAGCAGGCCAGATCCTCAACGGATACAGCCTGCTGGGCTGCAGCAGAGTTGCACCAACTCACATCTCCCTCCGGGGTTGTTTCTAGCATCTCGAGCTTCTCAAGGTCAGCCTCCCAGAGCGCAAGCAAGGCACTTGCATGTGAGCACGTGTTGGTGCTGGGGAAGGAGAGATAAACAGCAGGACCAGGGAAGATAGAAACCCTAAAGTAACCTTAGCCCCAGCCCAGCACGGATGTCAGGATCGCTCTAATGCCAACACTTTGGATTCAGTTGGTTTTCATCAGAAGCAAATGCCGTGGGCCGATATTCGGCAGCTCCCTCTCCTGCTCTTTCACAGCTCCAAGTGGTAATTAATGATGCATCAGCGCCTGGTGGCAGGAGATCTTGCTTCAGTCGTTAGGAGGTCCATCTCCAGAGACTGCAGGGTGAGCCAAGTCCTTCTCACTACCCATCACACCATGAGGCGGTAGATCAGAGGAGCTGGGATCTGAGATGAGCCGAGGTAGATGCCATGCCGTGCTGGCTTTTTAAGCCCCACCAGCACCCCATGGGGGTTGCTCACAGAGTTTTCCTGCCCCTCGAGGCCACCAGAATTTGTAGTGCGATAGCACTCCAGGAGTACTGAGCTCTCCTGCCCGGTCCTTAGCACACAGCTCCAGGCACTGCTGTTTACCTTCCCCTCTCGCCATGTGTTGATCTTTCCTGTTTAGAGTGGAAGCAGACCAGCACAAATCCATAGCTACTTATTAACCCCAGGAAGCAGAGAGGCTGCAGCACCTGACCTCTCAGGCAGGCTCTCAGCCTGCTTTATGAAAGGAGCAATGGTTTATGGAGATAGGTGAAACACAGCGGCGACAGCCCCATGATGCTGGTGCCAGCGCAGTGGAGGTACACGGGCTGGAGAGCTCTTGACCAATTCACAGAGCCAATAAATCCAAGGATCCCTTCCAGAGCTCCTTATGTGTAGGAATGCAGAGCTCTGAGGAGAAACAAGTTTACAGACAACCAGCTGTGGGCTGCAAGCTAAAAGCCAGGCTGCCTTAAATACAGCCTCATTAGGCTCATTATCAACAGACCATTCGTCTCCTCTTGCAAGCTGAGGCAGCACTTTTTACCCGCACAGCAAATTCTCTGCTCCCAAACACAAGAGAGATTGAGCTCCAGAGCAGAGAGAGGAGAGGCGGCTGCTGGGGAAGGGATCAGGAAGGTAGGAGTCAAGGGGAGTGCTTAGAGAGGAAGCTGAAGGCAATGCCCCAGGGGGAGGAAGGGCAGGAGATGGTGGTTAAAGGGAGGAGAGAAAGAGCCCTCAGGCACCGTCACACTGGAGGTGCTGGAGGACAAGGTGAGCTGGAGATAGTGGAGGACAAGTTGAGTAGCAGGGAGGTGACAGACAAGTAGGAATGGAGGGAAAGGGCACCACTGCCTTTTGCCGGTGGGAGAGGGGAGGAGGAAGAATATTTGTATGTTAAACCACCAAAGGGGGCTGTGTTTTGTGGAAGGCCAGACATGGAAGAGGAAAGAAAATGTACAAGTTGTCAAGCCGGACCAGAGATGAGCTTTGCCTTGTCCAGGCTGGGATCTCCAAAAAGGCCACGACACAGTGGTGCTTTGGGGTACCTGGGGAAACCCCGCAGTCAGCAGATGCAGGATAATTATCCTTACACTGCAGTCATCTCAGTGCAAAGCAGGGCCAAAAACCCTAAACAATTTTAGGCAAGGTGAGAAGGGTCAAAGTGATGATGAGAAAAAGAGTCTGTGACTAAGCAAACACCACACTTGGGTTTGGTGGGCTTCAGCCTTGTGACCTTGAGGACCTGTCCTCCCCATGCCTCACGTCCTTGGCTGTGGAAGGAAGCAGCTTCCAGGGCTGCCAGAAGCAGCTGCCAGCACATGATGGTGATGGTGACCACAGGAGCATGAAAACAGGAAAAGCTGAGGCTGGACTATGAGAAAGACACTGACTGGCATCTCCTTAAGGACAAGGAGCCAAAACGTGTAGCTGCTCTCCAGGAGAGCTCCTCCTGCAGAGCCCAGGTCGGATGCCACAGCAGGACATGGAAAGGAGACGTCTGTGAGTGTCTGGGGGTGCAAGGCCAGGCAGGAGGAGGTGAGGCCACTCTGGAGAGATGCAGCAGGCCAGGGCTGCGAGTCATTTGAAAGGAGAAATGCCTTTTCATTGCACTTGTGTGCCGCAGGAGCCCTGGCACTTGTCTGACCCTTACAGGCTCCTTTGCGATATAAATGATACTAGACATTAAGGGGTGATTTGTGTGAGGGTGACCACTGAAGCCAGAGCGTATGGGGAAATAATAAGGGAGGAGAGGATGGGGACCAAGCACTTGGTGAGGATGAAGGATCCAGGGGACCAAGGACAGAGTGGCCAGAGGAGAGCTAGGGAAGGGGGCTGCCGGGGATGGGGAGCTCTGTGTGCCCCGGGGGTTGGCAGGAGCAGGTGGGTGGGACCAGCCAGAGGGACAGGGAGAGGGGCAGCTGGGTGCCCTTTGGCAGGAGTCAAAGGCAGCTGTCCATATCATCATCATTTGGGCCCAAACAGCAGAAGAGAGAAGAGATGGGAAGGACAAAAAAGAGAAATGGGAGGAAATGGTGGCATTGGGGAGAGGGCAGCCCCAGGCGCCCTCACTAGAGATGCTGAGGAGCACCAGGACTGGAGCAGGGACAGGGAAAGCTGAGGGCAGGCGCTGCTGAAATGGGCCGTGGGAAAGCGCTAAAGCTCCGGTCACGAGTGCAAGCTGGTGTCAGGTGGGAGAGGCTGCTGGGAGCACTGGGAGAGGGCTGGGCATGGAAACTAGGGCAGCAGGGCACCCCGGGGAAAGGAGGAGCAGGAGGCGAGGAGTGGAGAAAAGCTCCTGGGGCCAAGAGGAACTGGCCCTGCAAAGCCAAAGCAAGCAGCTTGGCGGTGGGAGGGCTGCAGAGCTTGGTGTGCCAGCCACACCAGTCTGCTGGAGAAACCTCTGTCTGCCTGGCAAGCACTGACAGCCA